GTCTCCTCCTCTCCAGGGCTTTTCCAAGACTGAGAGTGTGAGCAGCTAATCTTTCCTCTGTCCTTTTTATGCCCCTCGTGGGGTTGTTTGAGTGGGAGGACAATGAGGAAGAGCCTGGTGCAGGAGGAAGGGAAGACACCTGTACCCAGAGGCACCAACCTGGGCCCCAGATTGTGGGTGCCCCCCCACACACACACAACGTGATGCCATGACATCAACATCACATCATGCCATCACCTGCTGCCCTTCAAGTAAAGATGTGTATTGATGCTAGGAGATGATGTATTTATTGGATATTATCCTTCCGGATAATAGATTGCCGAAAGAAATATCAACAACCTCAGATATGCAGATGACACAACCTTGATGGCGGAAATTGAGGAGGAATTAAAGAACCTTATAATTAGGGTGAAAGAGGAGAGCGCAAAATATGGTCTGAAGCTCAACATCAAAAAAATAAAGATCATGGCCACTGGGCCCACCACCTCCTGGCAAATAGAAGGGGAAGAAATGAAAGCAGTGAGAGATTTTACTTTCTTGGGCTCCATGATCACTGCAGATGGTGACAGCAGTCACGAAATTATAAGACGCCTGCTTCTTGGGTGAAAAGCAATGACAAACCTAGACAGCATCTTAAAAGCAGAGACATCACCTTGCCAACAATGGTCTGTATAGTTAAAGCTATGGTTTTCCCAGTAGTGATGTATGGAAGTGAGAGCTGGACCATAAAGAAGGCTGATCGCCAAAGAATTGATGCTTTTGAATTATGGTGCTGGAGGAGACTCTTGAGAGTCCCATGGACTGCAAGAAGATCAAACCTATCCATTCTGAAGGAAATCAGCCCTGAGTGCTCACTGGAAGGACAGATCCTGAAGCTGAGGCTCCAATACTTTGGCCACCTCATGAGAAGAGAAGACTCCCTGGAAAAGACCCTGATGCTGGGAAAGATGGAGGGCACAAGGAGAAGGGGACGACAGAGGACGAGATGGTTGGACAGTGTTCTTGAAGCTACCAAGATGAGTCTGACCAAACTGCGAGAGGCAGTGGATGACAGGAGTGCCTGGCGTGCTCTGGTCCATGGGGTCATGAAGAATCGGACATGACTAAATGCCTACACCCTCCCCAGAGCGGTGGGAGTGTCTCTCAGAGTTCGTTCTGGGAAACTTTCAGGAAGGAACTCGGAGGGCTTCAGCTCCTGTCATTTGCCTATGTAGCAAACATGCACTGTTGGTTTGGCTGCATGGTAAATATCCCACACTTCACAGGCGGATGGCAGTCCCCTCAGAAGGCGGAGCACATCGTCCACAGGAGAGGCAAGGAAAGTCCACCTTCTCACTCACCTCTCACCTTGCCCAGTCACGCTATCTTTCACCAGGACCTCAGTGCCACCTCTCTGTTTCCATGGGGACAAGTAGGCAGAGGCATGTTGGCAGAAGAGGAAGCAGAGGGAGGAAGAGGCCTCGGGGCATATTAGGTAGTCTTACACAAAATGAAAATGCTAGTCTTCACGCAATATATGGAAACATTTTTGGAGGTCCCCCCTTGTGACCCCAAGCAGAGGAACGATGTACCACCTGACCCACCCCCCTTTCCTTGGCCCTGTGGAGGGGCAGGCAGTGGCTGCATTTGGCCCCCAGGTCAGAGGTTTCCCTCTCATGGTATACATTACTAAAGGCCTCCAAAGTTTCCCAATTTTCTCTCTCCTTTGGCTTCCCTTACTCAGGCAAATGAACAGCTTGGTGATTTTAGAAAGAAATTGTGAAACCATGTTTCTTCAGCAAGTACATTGTGAATCCACTCGCCTTCAGTGGGTACACTGGGTGAGCAATCAAGATTTGGCCAAATGTTATATTTCCCACAAGCTTCCACTGGCTAGAGCTTACATCAGCCTGCTGAACCAGGCCAGCTGTTCCAGAACCCTGTTGTCGCAATGGCCAGCCAGGTGCCTGTGCAAAGCCTCAAAGCAGGACTGGACAGCAACACCACTCTAACCCCTTATGCTTCCCAGCAACTGACATTCAGAGGAATACTGTCTCCAACACTTGAGGAAGAACATGGCCAACTTGGTTAGTAGCCATTGATAGCCTTATCCTCCATTATTTTCTTCTAATCCTTAACCAAACACATCAAACACATCCATCTTTACTTCCTGTGAGCAAATTCCAGAGTTTAACTATGTGCTATTTCAAGCAGCACTTTCTTCCATCTTTCTCAAATCTTCAACATTCACTGTCATTGGCTGCCCAAAACTCCTAGTGTTACGAGAAAGGAATAACAGCTTTTCTCTGTCCTGTTGCACTAACGGCTTCCTATTAATTGAAGGCTGACTAAACCTCAGGGGTGCAGGGAGCTACAAGAATTGCCCCAATTAAAGGATCTCAGTGCTTGAGGTGTCACATAAGGGCAACAGAGCGCCACCCACCCATGATTCATGAGCTTCCCCAATTTCCTGTCCCCTCCCCCGTTCGTTTTGAGAGATCGTGGGTGGGCGGCTGTTGCCTAGGAGTGGCGCACGGTGCACGGTTTCTCTGTTGGGCAAGGTGCAAAGCTCTTCTTTCGCACCCTGTGAAACTCTCAAAACAAAGGGGGAAGGGGGCAGGAGATCGGGGGAGGCTCAGGAGTCACGGACGGGTGGCGCGCCATTGTCCAGGAGGGCGCAAGGTGCACGG